GGGCTCTGTAGCCAAAGTGATGTACTTTCCAGAGATGTGCATTGCAGATCATTCACAGTTTGACACTGACTGATAGTTACTGGACTGCTAATGCCATTGGCTGTGTGTAAAGAAGAATAGTCGCAGATAAAAACATTGTCAAAACAGATAGAATTAAGTGTTGACATAATGTCAACGTCATTGATGTAATGGGTCGTTCCAGAATAGATCCATACTCCCCTCACGGAAGAAATTTCTGCCGTCCGGAGGGGGAGGGGAGAAAAAATTGTTTCTGATAATAATAAATGTATTAGGACATCCGAAGGGGGTAGGGGGGTTAACTTCCTATTTCCTCTGTGGGGGTGGTATGGATGTTTTCTGGAATGACCCAATAAGTAAGTTTTCAAATATTTATGTAACTGAAAATGTGATGTAGTCTAATTTAGATGGTGTTATTTTTGTTCATAAACATTTCCGATAGGCTTCTTACATGTGCAATATAAATGGGTAGGGGCCAATCTCGTACCCAGGAGGGGGTACACAGGAAATCTTGTCTCTATGCATGTCACCATGAGTGGTACAATACACTCAATTCAAAGTATGTGACTTTGGCTATAGAGCCTCGTTTTCATGTATGTGACATAAAACAGCTGAAAGCTTCAACCACGAAAATGAGGCTCTATAACCACATTGCTATGTCATTCGCCCCAGTCCTTTGGCAACACGTGCATGCCACGTGCACATAACCACATCCCAGACACAGACCCGTCCCCCCTGATTGTGGTTGAACAAGAATCTCGAAGGAGTAAAGAAATTTATTAGGTAAGTTTTCAGCGAAATTCGTGCTGCTTTTGTGCCTTGTAGGCCTCTGTTTTGTTTTAAATAGACGTATCGATACAATACGTAAGGAAATATAACTTGTGTGCTTTTTAAACGGTTGATTTTTGAAGGAATTTTGAGATTTTTGGATCGCATGTTCGGTGCAAGTTTCATTATTGTCTAGCCTAAAAGTTTGAGTTTTATGCCATAGAAACATGAAAGTCTAGCTATTTCTTGCTCGAATTTTGCTAAGTTTCGCTAGTGCATACGTTTAAGAGCCAACCTTTTTGGCAAACCATTCACAATAATTTGAAAATTGTGTGAAAATATAAAAATGTTATGAAGTACAAAATTGAGAACTTTAATTGTTCAGAGTTTAGCTTTATTTTTTTTTTTAATTTTTACAAATTTGCCATTATTAAAGATATAAACTAACTATAAATTACACACAATGGCTGGAATGACCACACAGAGATAAAATCTCCAATAACGGGGTTCCACAACATACATAAACATAACAATAATTTACACTATGGTGTGACAGATATTAGACATACTAATAAACAGATAGGCAAATTAACAGGCCACAAATTGAAACAAACAACGATAAGACAACGACATGAGATCCTATTTGAAATTCTGAACTCGTGAATGAAGTACTAGAGTAATTTGAAGCTGTTAAGATTGTTTATGTATCGAGCAAGCTATATTAAAATTTAATGACTGCTTTCCCTATCACACACACCGTCCACAACCGCCAAAATGCTATACTCGTAGTCATGTACATGGAGTTGAACCATAAGATAAAGTAATATTCATTATAGCATAATGGTAATTGCATTTGGCACACGCAATAAGGGATCACTATATAAGGTTCGATTGACCTAACAACATGGTCTAGATAATAAGTTCCATAAAGGACGACTTGTGTGACATTTCACACAAACTGACTTAAGAGTTCTCGGGTCATTGGGGTTGAAAACACTGCCGTGTAACAGCTTATCAGCTGTTAGTGTATTATTATTCTGGTTATGTTTATTTTTCAATTTCTTTTACAAAGGGTTGAGCATCATTTAGCATTCATTGTTTCTTAACCCATTGTTAGTGATTGACCAATAAATCTGTACATACTGGGCTAATTTTTGCCTTATCGGTAGACAATCCAAATCAGCTGTATCTCCAAATGTGTACAACCAATTGTTGAGAAAATACGCCCTTTAAAAATTATATATACGTTGCGGGATGGTACACTTTGCATTTTAATGCAGTATGTTAAATTAGTGTGTGAAGCATGCCATTTACAGTTTTATGCAAATTTTGGTTGCAATAACATGTTACGTTGGAAATTATCATTAAAAAATTGAAATGGATGGGGACTGAGGAGCCATTTTTGGATTGGAAGGGCTGGTGAACGCTGAAGGCATGAGTTTACTAGGGGATGGGCGTCTTGCCCCCGGGAAATTTTGAAATCTGAGAACTTCCAGAGCCCCGGAAATGCAATCAAATTTACTAGTTGCTGTTAAAAAGTTTATTAACCATCATCTGTTTAATTAAATATCTAACCAGAAATAGATTGAATACTTGGCTATATAAATTATAAATATATGGTTAACTGATCTGAAAGATTTCAGTATTCTTAGTTTATAAAAATCACATATGTATGGAAAATTTTTTGTGGAGCTAAAGCCCCCAGGTACTGGAGCAGGGGGTGTGGGCGGGGCTGGGGAGTGCATGCCAGGGCTCGAATTTTATCGCGGCAATTGCTGTAGAGGGAGTACAAAATGCCGTGGATCATTGCGGCGACGACGGCAATTTTTTGCCGTATAGTATAATTTTTATACTATTCACTAAATTACTATATTAACAATAAAGTTAAATTTTTGTTACAGTAATTTGAAAAAATGCTGTGGAAACTGCCAAAATTGCTGTAGACAGCTGTTACGTTCTACGGCAATTTTTAACGCCATTGCCGTCGATTGATTTCAGGGAAATTTGAGGCCTGATGCATGCTCAGCCACATATTGATGTTTAGTTGGTTAAAAGTTAAATTCTTTGATTTAGAACTAAACTAAACACAGCGCCATGCCAAATATTAAACTACGAAGCTCGGATGGAGAGACCTTCGATGTTGATGTTGAGATTGCAAAAGCATCGGTCACGATAAAGACTATGTTGGATGGTAAGATATATTGCTGTATATGCCATGGTTTGTGTGGGAACTACCTTTGTTATTGGGTTATTCCAGAAAACATCCATACCCCCCCCCATGGAGGAAATTGGAAGTTAACCCCCCTACCCTCTTTGGATGTCCAAATACACTTACTATTATTAGAAACAAATTTTTTCTTCCTCCTACTTGAGACCGCAGAAATGTCCTTCGTGGGGGGAGTGTGGATTTTTTCTGGAACAACTCATTGGGGTGGGGGGAGAGACACATTGTCATTTCTGAAGTTCAACATTTAAGAGTACACTCTGGGAGGGGAGATGGTGCTGATGTACACTGGTTGATGAGAACTTTCTTTTTGGAGTGATGTGAGCACTTACCCAGATAATCTGTCGATGGAACTAAATTTTAGGTTAATTACCAAATTCTTGTCTCTTTCAGATTTAGGCATGGACGAGAACGACGAAGAACCTGTTCCGTTACCAAATGTCAATGCCGCAATTCTAAAGAAGGTGATTGCAACTTGTCTGCAGCAATGCTGCAAAATCAGGTTTTGCCTGGTGCTCAGTACACACTTACAGAAAGTTTCATCACTTTAACTGTAGAGCCTTATGTTAATGCTTGGGACATTGAGTTTTACAACTAATGTCACATACACAAAAGTGAGGCTCTATGTCCAAAGTGACAAACTTTCTAGAAGGGTGTATTGAGCACACAGGCCTAATCTGTGCTTCAAAATATCCATGTATACTATAATCCTTTTGGCAAGTGTCTTTTTTATGACGAAGAAACTGTTATAAGAATGTGTTAAGTTATTTAACATGTTGAGTGGCAGCACGTTCCACTTAAGGAGAAAAATCATCTGTCTTTAGACAGAGTAAAATAACAAGTAGTGCACATTGTCACATGTATAAAGGATTACTGTCGTTCCAATTGAAGTGTTGCTCAAATATTGATTCAATACATTACCTCGGGCTGCCCAATTCATTTCATCAAGTTCCTCGAGATATTCATACACTTCCTAGTATAATTGTAAACTTCCTGTTGAATAGTTTGAATGCACCAATCACCTTTGTTGTTTGTGCAACTAACCAATCATAAATAGAAAGGAAGTGACCAGAAATGATCAAATACTTGGAATTGGCTCTTTCACAGGAAGTGTATGAATATCTCGAGGAACTTGATCAAATGAATTGGTCAGCCTGAGGTAATGTATTGAATCAATATTTGAGCAACACTTCAATTGGAACGACAGTAAACCTTCAAGTGGCAATGCACCCTGATGTAACCTACTTTGTTATTTTACTCTGTCTAAAACCAGATGATTTTACTTGTCAAGCAGAGAGTGCTGAGAACTGAGAACGTTAAGAATTGTTTTGATGTAATGGGCTACATTTCATAAATATTTCTTGTTGAAGGTAATTCAATGGGCCACACATCATAAGGACGATCCACCCCCTCCCGAGGATGATGAGAATAAAGAGAAGAGAACAGACGATATTGAACCTTGGGATATGGAGTTTCTCAAAGTTGATCAAGGGACACTGTTTGAGCTTATACTGGTACAATAATAATTCAATTATTATCTAACGATAGTTTTGATTCTCACACTGGGTCCCCATTTGTTCTGCCACCGCAAGCAGGGCAGTGCCTTTATTATTTACCTATCTGTTTATAAAAAACATGATTAATTAACAAATCCCGGATAACAGTTCAGTTCATAATCTAAACAAAAACTATATACAACTAAAAAAACAACAAACTCTAGTATCCACCAATCTGGGAGGGTGGGTGGGTAACTGCATACGATGTGCAAAAAACTAAAAGATGCGAAAGTCACTTATCACGTGACTTTATACAACTCGTGTGACCTAACACAGGGCACCCCAGTATGAGAAACCTGTTTCTCGCTTATTTCGTAAACTCAGACAGCGAGAAACTCAAATAACTTTTGCTAAACACAAAATATAAGATGTAGAATATGTAAGGAGTGAAATTATGAGTTTATTTCTTCTTTGCCTAGGCAGCCAATTATTTAGATATTAAAGGCTTGCTGGATGTTACATGTAAAACAGTTGCAAATATGATCAAAGGTAATATGTTCACATATGACATAATGTATATCTTAAAGGCACAGGTCAGCATTTTGAATGATGTTTTTTAAGGCGCATTTCAGCCCTTTTAATTGAAAAAACTAACTAGGAAAATCAATTAAGCAATTAATTCAAGATCAGCAAACTTAATTTTTTTAACATTTTAAAACATTTTTTTGTTAAAAACATTGAGTTTATTGATCTTAAATTATGCATAATTGATTTTCCTAGTTAGTTTTTTCAATTAAAAGGGCTGAAATGCGCCTTAAAAACCATCCTTCAATACCTTGGCTTTTGTTATAACTTGTTAATTTTTAGTATGTTTTGGTAATAAATGGTTATTTCAAATCTCATGAAAGGTAAAACGCCAGAAGAAATAAGGAAAACATTTAATATAAAGAATGATTTCACCCCTGAAGAAGAGGAACAGGTATGTCTTGTGATTCTCATCCTGTGGTAACACTGGATCAATAAAAGATGATTCTTACTGGACCTCTAGCCTCTAGGAAGAACAGTTTAGAATTGATGGAGCTATCCAGTATAAATAAAGTTAGTTTAGTTTAGGTTTCCTCCTGTAGTAACACTGGATCAATAAGAGATGATCCTTACTGGACCTCTAGCCTCTAGGAAGAACAGTTTAGAACTGATGGAGCTATCCAGTATAAATAAAGTTAGTTTAGTTTAGGTTTCCTCCTGTAGTAACACTGGATCAATAAGAGATGATTCTTACTGGACCTCTAGCCTCTAGGAAGAACAGTTTAGAACTGATGGAGCTATCCAGTATAAATAAAGTTAGTTTAGTTTAGGTTTCCTCCTGTAGTAACACTGGATCAATAAGAGATGATTCTTACTGGACCTCTAGGGAGAACAGTTTAGAACTGATGGAGCTATCCAGTATAAATAAAGTTAGTTTAGTTTAGGTTTCCTCCTGTAGTAACACTGGATCAATAAGAGATGACTCTTACTGGACCTCTAGGGAGAACAGTTTAGAACTGATAGAACTATCCAGTATAAATAAAGTTAGTTTAATTTAGGTTTCCTCCTGTAGTAACACTGTCACTGGATCAGTGAGAGATGATCCTTATTACTGGACCTCTAGGAAGAACAGTTTAGAACTGGCAGAGCTATCCAGTATAAATAAAGTTAGTTTAGTTTAGGTTTCATCCTGTAGTAACACTGGATCAATAAGAGATGATCCTTACTGGACCTCTAGGAAGAACAGTTTAGAACTGATAGAGCTGTCCAGTATAAATAAAGCTAGCTTAATTCTTTACGCAATATTTTTTATTCAGGTCCGTAAGGAAAACGAATGGTGTGAGGAGAAATGAAGTATGGAATAGTTTATATAAAGTTGTCATTTTCCATCTTTCAAAAGAAAACAATTTCTTTCATATCTTGTTAATAATATATTGGTTAGGTAGTTTTGTTTATGTTCATTTGATAAGAACTTTGTACATTGTCGTATTGAGACATTGAGATTGAAAAGCAGATTGTCTATACACATGAATGTAACGGATCTATAGTTTCAACATGAATGTAACGGATCTATAGTTTCAACATGAATGCAACGGATTTATAGATTCGATGTGTGCAACTGTATATTACATTCTTCAAGCGTTCCAGATTTTCAGTTTCATGTAAAAGTGACTTTTGGTCTTGAAAGCATAGAAAACGGCGAGAGCTGCGCCCGATCAGTCGACTGTTTCTTGTGTTATCCGGCAATTGATGCTTAGAAAGATTTCTTTGTCCAGACTCAGACACAATTCAAGCTAAGTGAAATGCGTTTGACTATTGTGAGTATTGATTACTGAAGACGATGTCAATGATGTGGACAAGCTAGCCTGTGAATTGACGAGATTATCATCTCTTCGGACGTTAGAAGAAAGGTGTATATAAAGAAGGAATTAGACTTAATATTGTTGTCGATTTCAAGTCACTTTTGAACGCGCGGTTCTCATGTTCGTTGCGAACTTGCCAATTACGTTTCCAAGTTCGGAAATTGAGCGCGAAATTCGCAACAAAGTTCACAGGTTCATTTCAATGTTTTGAAACTTCGTTTGTAATTAAATGAAATACAAACCTTCTTGGTAGCCCACTGGACCAAGAAGTTTCCATTGAATTGTTAATTTCAACTTGATCTATTAACTATGAACAGTTTAAACATTGAATGTTCTTGCGAGCTTTGTTGCGAAGTTCACGCCCAGTTTTTGAACTTGGTCTTGGAAACGTAATTGGCATTGGAACCGCTCGTTGAAAAGTGACTTGAAATCGACAATAATTGATCTTTTTCAATCAATATGTTGTTCTTTTAAAGTAGTTTTGTGGAGGGCAGTGAGATTGGGAGGGAACGGAAGCTACAACTTAAGGTTATATCCTTAGGAGTAGAATCATTATTGCCTATTGGAGTCAAAATCAAAGATGTCAAACACAAGAATGTCACCAAAATAGATTAGAAAAGGAGAGGACATAGGCTTTTCCTACAACTGGCGGACGTTACGATAGGGGCTAGAAGAGGGAGTGGCAGCCGCCCCTAATAAAATAGCCGTAATAATTGTTTAGTTTTCACAATAGTACATGCATATTTATAAGCAAATTTGCAAGCTTGGGTCAATAAATCCGTCAATTTGATTCGCATTCTCACGTTCCCTCGCGTGTTTTATATTGTAATATTGGACCTGTGTTTTTAATTAGGCATAATGTGCTGACGTGGCAATGCTGCCCTCAAAATATATGCACCGCCTAAAACAACAAGCAATTACTTCCCACATTTAGCCCGTTTTAGTGATATTTTTGCATTTCTTTAAGTACTATAACTTCCAAATACCCATCAAACGCAATTACATTAACCAATTGAAAAGAAAAGGGGGTAAACTTTTGCATTATTTTCGACTTTTTCGGCGTTGAAAAATGAAAAATATTTTGAATTTTGAGCAGCGCGGAGCATTGTGGGATATGTGATGATCGTAATTCGCAATGGCGGCCAACCCGGGCGAGCTACATGAGGGAGAAACGCAAACAAGCGAAGGATTTGAAAGCAATGCCTTTTCCAGTGTAGAAACTACAAGTATTGGAAGCCCTATTGCAGGACTAAGCGATGACGAGCTAGTAAGTTTATCTGTGAAAGATTTGAATACTCGTTTACGAGGAAGGAGCGACCAAGATGTAGCGATGATAAAACAGCGTAGACGAACTTTGAAAAACCGAGGTTATGCACAAAGCAGCAGAAATAAACGTGTAACGCAAAGGCTGGACCTTGAAAAAGACAAGGAAAGTTTAAGGGATGAATTAGAAAGGATTGCAAGAGAAAATGATCGATTAAAACGCGAAAGAGACGACACTAAAAGACAATTTAATACACTCATAAGTATCGTTGGATCGCAGCCCAACGGTCCGGCGATAATAGACCGTATTAAACTTTCTTCGACTCCGACTGCAAGTGAACCAGCAGGAAAGGCACAAAGGGTTGATATCGAATCGGTTTTATCATCAACTGCAGCTCGAGAGAGCGAAAATCCGCGAGAAATTGCAGAAACGCTAGCACAGATTCCAACCTTGCATTCCCTGAATGAACAGCGTCTGAAATCGGCTGATAAAGGACTTCAGCAAGTTCCAGCGGATATTAATCGGCCTGGACAGTATAATATTTAGAAAATTCAGTAATTGCTGGTTTCAGTCCAGTGTTGTTATATGGTGCTGTACATGATGGTCAACGAGAAAAGTGTAGCAAATGATGCTAAGAAATGTCAACAATGTAGTCGCTGATAACTTTCCTGTCTGATGTTGCTACTCTCCTAATCACCATGTACAGCTCTGTCATACTACCAACCACCTATATCTCGCTTTGTATATACACGTCAGGTCAACCGTAGGTGCTTGGGGAAAGGTCATGCATGATTGCAACAAATTAATGGATGGTACTTGCTTTTAGGGTGCCCTTTCTCTTATTTTGAAAAAGGTGTTGACCCTTCTAAGTCCTTTTTAACCCCATTTTTTTTAAACCTCATTTTGGGTAAATTTCTATACCAGCAACCACAATTTAAATACAGTTATTTTGTGACCCCTGATCCTTAAATCCCAATCCTAAACTTAATCCTTACCCGTAATCCTTAACCCCAATCCTAACGTTTTGTCCACAAAAGCTATTGTAACATCATTTTAGGAAGTTCCTCACTCTCCTTGCATAAAAATAACATTTAGCTGCCAAAAAAGTGAAAAATCTTTTGGGGAAAAAAAACTTTGTTGCTTGGTAAAAAATAGACCAAAGGCAAGAATGTATTGACTGGTTGAATTGAAACACTTCTGAGATTCAATTAATTTTTGTAATAATAACCTCAGTTTAAATAGAATCTGATCCTTATGTGCTCTCGTTTCCGGATAATGAGGCAATTGTGCGGCTGTTTTTGCCTGGTAATTTCCAGGGTATATAAAGTTACATTTTTTCTGAGCTTGAAATATCAGGCTAAAAAACCATCCATTAATTTTGAAGGCAGCATGTACTATAAAATACTGTAAAAGTACCTGTCCAGTTTCTATGAAAATGAAGAAAGTTAGTTATGTAAATATAGCATCTAAGTATAGCTTAGTTTGATTATGTTAGTAAGTTAGTGATTATGTATAGTGATTAAGTTAGTGATTATGTATAGTGTATAATCTAGAAGTTTATTTGTTAATTACATGTATACTCGTAATCATTGTAAATATTAAAATTTCACATCCTTTAATTTGATCAAATTGAATGTGCCTTGTCTGCAGACAATGGTTGAATTTTTATGTGAATTGGTGGGTTTTGGTAAGTGTTACGGGGTAAGTGTTACGGGGTAACACACATGCAGTGGGTAGCAGTCTGCCAATGGGGTCAACTTCAGAAGACTCTGAAATGTGGGCAAATACAAGTCTACTGTAGACAATGAACAGAATTCACATTTGCTGACTCAATAACGGTTTAGTAAATGGGGGGGGGGGGAGCTTCTGGTGTTTCTGCAACACACTTGGGGAGTAGGGGCTGATTAAAAACCACCATATCATTCCAGTGAGGAGGTGGGTGGGTGTAAGTTCACACATGGCTAAATGTTTCTTTTTGCTGGGCGACCTAACCCCATGCCCCCAAGAAGATAGACATTTGAAAGGGTGAGGCTACCCCCTAAAGATTCATTGAACACAAACATTTTTGTGATGTAAACAAACTGAAAAAACCCGCCTTCTATACACATTACACAATGAACACCCACAGTCTGAAAATCTATCAGTGAATAAATGCTGACGTATGTTTAATTAATTTCGCATCGTGAATATCCGGCATTGCACGGCGGAAAATCGGCATTTGTCGGAGGTAAAAAATGGCTTCAAGTCCTGTTCAAGAAAGCGAACTTGATCAAGATCAAGATCAAACGAATAACTCGGCAGAAACTATGCGCAACGATGAATTAGAACAAATTTCGTAAGTAACTAGTTTTTAAAAAATTATTTGCCTCGTTAAACTTTTCTCGTTTGTTGATTTGAGTGTTGAAACTTGCATAGTTGTTGCCGCCAACTCGTTGAATTAAAAAAACTGCCATCATTTGAAGTTTGTTTTGTTTGTGATTTAAATGAAATCTGTAAACAAGTTGTTCTAATTAAAATTACAGTGCAATACAATAATTCTCAATTGGGATTTAAATGCGTAGAAAGGTTTCTTTATTTATATATGATTGGAGTTTATAGTTGGTATATTTGAAAGCGATTTATATGGCGCTAAAAATTGCGTAAAATTTCAAAATAAACCGATGTCAAAGGAATTTAAACTGTTTGCTGCTCAATTGCGCTTTAATGGCATGTGTAGTTTTAGATTTTAGGTTTTTAAAAGGAAATTTTTATTCATAACAAAACATTTCAGGCATTTTTCTTCAGCTCTTTTAAAATATTGGTTTTCAAGGAAGCAACAGCTAAACTAAATTATTAATAGCTTTATGACACAAAGTTAATATACAAAAAGAGTCTTATTCATTAAGACTGAGTCAACATTCAACAAGAGATCAATCGTGGAAAATCAAGGATGCATATCCTGAGTTTTAGAGATTGATGATCTGTCTAGATGAACTTGAGCGATGAAAAGATAGTTTGTCTGATAATGTGCCTGTATATATAAGCACAGTAAATACATGTAGACGGGTCATCTGTGAAGAAAACGTTCTGCATTGATCGTCTACACAGATGAGACTAATTTATTAATTATTGTGATGGATGATCTGTCTAAAAATGGTGTTATAGGAATTACGAGGAAAATATCTGACGTGATTTGTTCCCAGAATCATTTCTAGTATAGATCACAGATTATAAACACCGGGAACCTGACAATTGTGAATCATTTACTGGGGGTGTGTATACCCCAGCCCTGGCCAGAAGGGGTGCTATTTTTCATGATAAAGCAAAAATATATTAGAGACAAAATGAGATACAGTAATTTGAGTAATAACATGATGATAAGCGAATTGTGAACATTTAAGTAACCCAAGCACCCGACCAAATCAATGCTGAATCATTTACTGGGGGTAATCAATGCTGAATCATTTACTGGGGGTAATCAATGCTGAATCATTTACTGGGGGTAATCTATGCTGAATCATTTACTGAGTAATAACATGTTGACAAGTGAACTGTGAAGAACAATTACAATTCAAATACAGCAGTCGGGCAAGTTGATGGGCGGGCAGCACACATGACTGACACAACTCGGGACCAGAGCTGGCAGAGCAACCCCCCCCCCCCCAACCAGATCATGCTGGATCCATCCCTGGCTGAATGATAACAGGCCCTATAGTTGCATTTTTGACAGCTACTTGTGGTCAGGTCAAAGCAAATGTATAACATTTACACTCGAACTTTCCATATACAGAATCGTTCAGCATAATAGATGACAGATTTTATGTTGCTTGTGATGTTACTCTGAGTGTTTATCCACACCGGGCAGGCTTGAAAAATATGCCTGGCCACGGTGGGAATCGAACCTACAACCTTTGGAATACTAGCCCAATGATCTGTCAACTGAGCTACATGGTCATGTCGGTTCGAGTATGTGATATTTTGGAACTGAGTCTAGTTCCTTCGGTTTGGCAGATAATGATGTTCTTATAATTACCGGCATAAATCATCAAATTATGTACCCAGTATTTACATCATAACTATAGATGGTACCACCCAAACATGAACAGACATATGTCTGAAGGTTTGTTGATGGCAAATGGTGAAGATGGCAGTTACCTTCTCAGACCCAGCAAGAAAGAGGGACAGCTTTCACTCTCTGTCAGGTACGGAAATTTTCTCTCCCTTTTTAAGCCTGGTAGGATTGTCAATAGACAAAACCCATTATAGACTAATTTCAAAACTAAGCAAAGAAATGCAAATAAATCACCACAGCTAGAAAGAACATACTAAAATGAGTAAAATTGCAAAGTTTGGTTGCAAAATATTGTAAAATGCGGGAAATATAGCCTTGCAAAGTTTGCAAATTTTGTATACTTTTGTATTGTGTGCGGAAATTGTTACCATTTTCGGCCCATTAATGTGGTAGCAATTTCCGCATGCAATACAAAAGTATACAAAATTTGCAAACTTTGCAAGGCTGTATTTTCCACATTTTACAACATTTTGCAACCAAACTTTGCAATTTTACTCATTTTTATAGTATGCTCCTTCCGGGAATATACTTTTTTTTCCAAGATAAAAAATAGTCTACAGTAATTGGAATTGTGGTGTTTGAGGAAAGATTGCCCCCTGCCCCTGACAGAAAATCTGAACCCTATTAATAATTGCCCCTCCGCAGTTGTTACGCCGAAGGGAAATTATTGATTCATAAAACTCAACTAAATTTTGTTCACATGTAGGTGTGCAAACTCTGTGAAACATTTCCAAATTGGTTGGGACGGACATAAATACACATTTGGCATGGGGAAATTTGACTGTTTGAGTGAATTTGTTGAACATTTTGAAAATAAACCTTTAATTGGTGGCGATTCAGGTTTGTTGTGAGGTCATTTGTTGCAATAAAATGTGCATGTGTTGGTGGTACAGTTGCAAAATAAAACGATGCAATGACATTTTACTAACTTGTAGGAATTCTGACTTTACTCAAATACCCTTACCCTCGAGATGTGGAAGAACCGAACGAGTATGAAACTGTGAGAGTACATGCCGAATGGGGCAAAAGTCGTGATCGGAGCGTACGTGATAAAGGCAATCTAGCTGTGAGTATCAGCCTAAAATATTTATATGCATTAAGGCCAAGTAAAAAAATAACTTTGTTTGAAAAAAAACCTCCCTACCCAATTAATCAGGGAAAAAGGATGGTAACTATTATTTTTTTTTAACTTGGGCCCACTTGACCTAATCTGCACTTTATATAAGAGGCCCACCAAGGGGTTATGATTGACAGGCGACATTCCTTAAAAAGAGGCGACAAACTATCTAAAAAAGAACGCTGTGGCAAATGACAGCTTCTGACTGAGAAAAAGCGACAATTTGTGATTTGTGTTATGGGTCAAAAGTGACACCGACATTTATTACAATAAAACAAGTGACATTAGCAGCTACAAAATTAGTGACAAGCGACCAGGGGCGTGGCGAACGATTCCAGATTGGGGGGCGTCATACCATAATGACCAACTTTTTCAATGAAAATGACCAACTTTTTTGTCCTTGAAAAAAATTTTCGGACATATCCAAATTTTTTTTCGCGACAAAAAATTTTTCGGATATCACATTATTTTTGTTAATAATATAATATTTCCTTTAATATTTAAATAATTCCTAATTGACCAACCATTTGCAAATTTTGACCAACTTTACAAAGTTCAAAATTATTGGGGGGGGGGGGCATGCCCCTGCAAGCGTCACCTAAGTCACACCCTTGGTGGGCCTCATATAAGTTGAATGACTAGTGAGTGGAATGACAGTGGATTTTTAAAAAATCAATGAAATGACAATGAAACATTCTGTGCTGCACATAGTTATAATTAACATTTTAAAAAGTTTGATTTATGAAATTTATTTTATAAAGATTGCCACACGCGAGGGATATCTTACGAAGCAAGGTGGACGAATAAAGGTACTTTGAAATTAATTCTGATAAAATGCATGGATAAAGTCAAATAATGCATATAGCGTGCTTGCGGACTTAAATCTTTGACAACTAACTACTGGCCCAGATGAAGGGCCTTCGCTCGAAACATTGAATTTCAGTTTATATTTTTCAAGTGGTTTTTCTCGACTACACCACGGCTGTCTGTTATCATCTCGACCTACACTGGCATCGACTGTTCAAGATTTTATTTAAATGTCTAATTCTTTTATTTCTAGAACTGGAAAACGAGATGGTTTGTGGTTGTTGCGAATGATCTAAAATACTATAAAGTTAAGGGGGTAAGTGAACAATTTTCTGTTCCAGTTTGTGAGCTGCAAGGTATTAAAATTTTAAAATTAATTGATACAAAAATATTCCTCTGTAGGACAATCTACCATTAAGAACATTGGATTTAACAAAATGTGAAGAGATTGAAGAAGATAAGAGTCAGGGGAAAGCAAACTGTTTCAAGTAATTTTGGTTAATAATATCCTTTTTATTGTATTCTTTATATACTGTAAATGCCTTTCAAAAATGTTTAACCCATTGAGCACCAGTGCTCTGACCCCTTGACATGTAAAATCATCTGGCATATTTGACAGAGTAAAGTTGGGTTGCAATGCAAATAAGTTAATGTATTAATAATTCTCAGTATATTATATTATTTGTTACAATATTTTTTTGTGATTGTTATTCTAGGATTGTAATGCCATTTAGAACGTTTTATTGCTACGCAAGTTCGAAACAAGAAGCAGATGAGTGGGTTAAATTATTACGCTGGAAAATGGTAAATTTTTTAGTAGCAGTTTTAGTATTCAGAGTCTTTTCCCTTACAGATGACTTTAAACATGGATTGCCGTACTTTATTATTTAACTGCATATCACCAGGCAATTTTACCTTTTTTTTCAACTTGTATAGGGTTCAGGAAATCACAACAGAATTAATAGCAAGCGATGACAAGGTTTGGTCTTATCTGCTGGTAGAATATACTTAGCAGAGTAATGGTCATTCAATAGAATCTAGTGTACAGTATATGTAGTATTTATAAACCATATTCATTGAATAATTATAATTTACGACAAACACATGACAGAACATGTTGTCAGAGACATATTCATTGAGTAATTATAATTTATGACAAAGACACAACAGTAATATGTTGCCAGATTGTCAGTGTAGACGTAGAATTTACTGTAAGAAATTGGGACTTTTTGGGTCTTTATATACTGAGTGAGAAAATATTTTACTGTTATATTGATGTATATTAGATTATGATTTTTACAGAATTGCTGTTTGGGTGAGCAAATATTTTATGTTTTACTGTTATATTTTTGGAAGATTTTTAATAGACTGGCTTTTAATAGGTGAACTTTTCTGTGTGGCTTTATATATAGTAAGAAATATCATAAAATTATTGACACACTGCAAAAGTAGTGACTGTTTATATATATTGTACTGCAATTGTTAATTTTTGGACCTAGTTATTGGTATCCAAATATAGAAAACCTTAGCAAATCAAAGTATTAGAAATGATTCTGTATCTTTACATTTTTTAATATTGATGTACAAATTATATCAATTAAGTGTTAACTTTAAGGACACTGTTTTTTCCCCTCAATATTCATGCATTCATTGTATTTCCATACGTGATTTTATGCTCTTAATTTATAAAAATAAAGATGGTATTAAAAATGTTCTAGTCTCTCTATTTGGTTGTTTTTATAAAGCTTTATTATTGTCATTATATATCTGAATTTCTATGTTGGATCAAATCGAAGTGGTGTCATATGCATTGCAGGCTTATTGAAATACTGCATTAGAATTCGTGACATTGGAATCTCCGGTTTTCTGTTAATGACCACACCCTTAACCCGCAGCCTAGCTAGGCTTGCCTCTGAGATATCCCGGCAATCTTTAACGTTGAGGTACTGCAGCTTGCTACAATATTCTCCAATCATTTTGATCGATCGATTCGTAACTCTCCAACAACCGTCAAGCTCGAACCTCGTGAGTTCTGCGAGCTGACGGCTCAGAATGTGAAGCGACGTATCGGTTATTCCATAACAGCCGTTCACACTAAGTTGGGTTATTTTTGGACATGACATCACCAAAGTAACCAAGCATTCATTGTCAACTTCCCAGCAACCACTTAGATCAACAATTTCAAGCATTTTGCAAGATTCGGCTAATTTTATAATACGCTCGGACGAAACCCATCTGCACTCTCTCAAGTGAAGTTGAACTAAATTCCTGCAGCATTCGGCAACTGTGAATAGACTTTGATTGGATAAACTATTGCAGCCATTTATATTCAGTGAAATTAGGTTTGAATTTCTTTGTAAAACGTTCACTAAAGTCGCATCTTTGAAGGTTTTGCAGTTCTCAAGGCTAAGCTTTTGCAAAGAGCGCGAATCCTTCGTAATCTGTACAAATGCCTCTTCTGTCAGCTTGCTTGAAACGGGAAAGCAGTTCAAGTTAGTGCAGTATTCGAAGTAGGCTAAGCACAGCTCATTAAATGTTCTGCTCGTCCGACGAATTCTGGCAACATCGGACAAAGGAAGGTTGTAAAATATGTGCGAGAATATAACATCTTGCCAAGGTAGTGTTAGGAAATTAATACTGGTTTTATTCTCTTCAAATTTCGCAAAACTTTCCATTGTTTATATTGAGTTGAATTGTGTTTTTGTTCGCCATTGTTTTTAGTTACCAGTAATTCTTGAAATTGTTCCAACGCACGTCCAAAGTCTCTGGAGAAATAAATCCAGTATGTTGACAAATATCAGTTGCAACATTAATTACTGAAAATCACTAATTTGTAACATTCTTGCAACATTTTGGAACACTATTTTGCAACATTTTCGGAACAGTTTTTGCAACATTTCCGCTACATTAATGTAACAATCTTTAAAATATTTAGAACACAATTTGCAACAATTATGCAACATTTTAGAATTTGAGATTGTTGCAGTTCGTTTCAGCCCCGAAAAGCAAGACATATTTTTGTAAATATCTCAACCAATTTTTATCCAAATTCGGCCAAAATTTGATCAAAGTGTCTTTGGCCTACATGTACGCTCCACAAATTTTTGATATTTTTATAGCTATCCCATTTCCGCTGATACACACAAACGGCATTATATACAAATAACTTTTAAATTTCAGATAATATTTAAATGTGAAAAACGTTTAGAGATTCACTCCACTGCATCGGAATTTAAATTTATTGAAAATACTTCTGGTATTTTCCGGATTTAATTTTCTCTTTGTTGTCAAGGGCAGCCAATTGACCTCAGATTGCCTGACCTCAGACAAAATATGTAAGTGGTATAATATTTGTCCATGCGAAGATTCAGGAGTTTTTTCCTCGCTATATACTGGCTGTAGAACGTATCTTCTATCAAACAAACCAAAGGATTTTGCAACGAAATACCACAACGTATGTATATTGATCATTTACTAACACTACAAACGGCCTACAATGTTTAATTAAACCATTATAAAATCAATGTCTGTTCACTAGCCGGCTATTTTAAACGGATTTGAAAAACTTTTTTACTGTCATTTGACAAATTTAGATCACTATGAAGGCTTGTATAATTGTTACTATAATCCTAAAACAATTGCAGCGAAACTATACTCTAAACCTTGCCATTATTTCGCAATATTCATAGCCACATCGTGTAATTTACTCAACGAAATACAGTATTGTGATAATATTGTGATTATACTTTGCATGCACCGACTGTGCGGTTTTACAAATACTCTAATCGCCTTCATTCTCAAGATTCGTATCTCGTTTTTTTATAACGTACAATGATTTCAAATTTTTGTACAATAAACCATTTCACACATATTCGTAAAATATTTAGCACTTTTGAGTTTTGTGGCCCAAAGGCGTTAAATTAATTCACTGCTTTACTGGCCGATGTTATTGCGAATTGAAACCCGATAGCTATTTTATAATTTTATGCCATAAAGCAAAATTTATATAAGTTATTAGTCTTATTAGCATATGAATAGAAAGTATTAGTTATAGCCATACTTGTGCACAGAGTGAAAAAATATTTTCATTTATGTTTTCATTTCATATTTTATTTGCTGGTAAATAATTAAAATAAATAGAATTATCGAAAGATCAACCGTCAACGAATAATACACACCACATTTCTCAAGTATTTCATAAGTGAAAATCAATGCCAAATTAAAATATAAAGCAATGAATGAATAAAGAAATTAAACTCTTACAGGAAGTATATTGTTTTATTACTTCTGGTGGGGTGTTAAAAAGACATTGTAATTTTAAACGGGAGTTGAAAAATCTTTCATGTGCCACGTCCAGAGTGCCACGTCAGTATCTTTAGCTTAGGGCACATGTTATCTGCTGTTGTTATCTTATTATTGGATAAGGTTTAATTAGTTGTGATATGTTTATGTTCACACTAAACTGCTCTGGTTTGTGACCTCAAAAAGATTAAAACACTTTTTTTGTGTTTTGATCAAAGGAATTTTTTCCGTTGAAACGTCAGAAGAGTGCTCTTTTTCAAATAGTTCACACACAAACCAGGACATTTTTATATTGTAAAATGCTACCTGCACTGGACTAACACGTTTGAGATGTCTTTTTCAGATATCCGGGTGGCGCAAAAAAAAGTTAACCTGTTTGATTTATTTTAACTTAAAGGGGAAGTCAAGTCCGTTCTGCGCATCGGTTCTGCTCATAACAATGAGAGGACCTCTAATGTGAACATTGCCCAAATTTCGAATTTTTCGAATTTTTCTGAACATAAACTCTATTTCATATTCATTTAGAAGCATAGCGAACCAAAATGGTGTTAGATATTCAGACAGTACATCATATTTTAAAAAATAGAGCAGTTCAAAATGTAAACAAACCGTTTGTTTACATTACGGACTTGACTTCCCCTTTAAAAACTAAAAGAGCTATTACACCTAAACTACGTGCATTGCATTCAGTATTGTCTAACTTAAATTTTGATATACGCCCTGTGCAATTTCGTGCAATATTGACCGAGAGAGCTGCGTTTAAACTTGAATAAACATTTTGGGAAGTGTCAAGAATTAGCTAAAAACGGCCTGTTGAATTAAATTAAACAAATTTGATAACCGTTACCATTTTATCGTAAATATTCGTTTCAATGAAGTGAAGTTTAAATTAAAAATGTTTATTGGATGGATGTGCTCTTTTATTTTTGTTTAAAGGTCTTTGGGAATGCATGAAAATTAAATTATGAAGCGATTTTGATTAAAAGATTTATTCTAAATATTCAATGACCCTGGGGTCTGGGGAATCAAATTCTAATGTTCCAAGAAAGAAACGTCAAGTGTTTTTTTTTTATAAATACGCCTCGTTTAACGAAGGACCAAAGAGTTTCGATCTGGTTAGAATATGCAAGGGTAAATAATGCTCGTGAGGTTATACCGGCGGCGTTGGGCTAACCTGAAGTTGTGATTAGGGCCTGAACTTAAGGTTAGCGTTGGGCAGGTCTCTGACAACGAACGTGTACTTTCTGACTATAGTGCGTCAGCACTGCAGGTTATTGCTGTATTAAATATTTGATAGGCCGTTTTTGGCTAATTCTCGACACTTTTACTGAAAATGGTTACTCAAGTTTAAACGCAGCTCTCTCGGTCAATATTGCACGAAAATGCACAGGGCGTACATCAAAATTTAAGTTAGACAATACTGAATGCAATGCACGTAGTTCACGTGTAATAGCTCTTTTAGCTTTTAAGTTAAAACAAATCAAACAGGTTAACTTTTTTTTGCGCCACCCTGTAGTTCAGACACAAACCTCGACAGCTTGTTGTAGAATACTACCTACACTGGACCACCACGTTTAAGATAATTTTCAGATAGTTCAAACACAAACCACGACAGCTTATTGTAGAATACTATACCTACACTGGACCACCACATTTAAGATAATTTTCAGATAGTTCAAACACAAACCACGACAGCTTATTGTAGAATACTACCTACACTGGACCACCATGTTTGAGATATCTTTTTCAGGTATAGTTCAGACACAAACCACGGCAGCTTATTGTTAGGCTTATCTGGGAAAACCCCCCGTTTGGAAATGGTTTTCATGTCTGCCGTTTGGGATGCACGTTCATATTTTGCATAGAAATACGTTTCCCTCTGGCCATGACCCAGAGTTCCAATCCTAACCCTAAGGCTATGTTCGGGTGGGTTATATAAAGGATGTACCAAATTTTGCACACGCCTCTGCCAAGATCAACAAAATATTTTTACAGGATTAAATTTAAAAAGATGAGGATTAAAAACTGAATCAGTTCTCACAAATATGTCGGCCTTAATCTCTTTTTATAACAGTGATTAATAATATTAATAATTCCTTGTGGTTTCTTGATAAAATCTGAGCATTTGGTTGGTTGATTTCAACAAGCAGGGTCAACGTCAGAAATGTTGACAGTTAAAAGAGCAGGAAAATTAAACTACATCTTACAATTCTATTTATTTAATTGTCTCCAAATGCAGGGTAACCAATTATATATTGAGAAGAACAAGCATAATCTTCTCACTCTGATAACTGCAGGTTGAGCCGACTATTTGTTGCGCGATAGCGCTTTTAGTAAACTCACCTATTGCATTCAATCGTGGAATAAATATAACGTTTCCAAGGCAGTCTTTTTGCGTTATTTGTACCTCTAACGATGCAGTATTTGCATCATTTTGACGATCCTACATCACTTTGTATTGTTGGTTTTGTTTACCTCCGTAATCCCTATTGTAACAGCAGCATAATTACAACACTGCAAACAAATCATTAAAGTGAAATAATTTATTGTCATTGTCTTATATCTGTCTACCGTCATGGCTGCTTCAACTGTCTCTGTCGCTATAGGTTTGGAATTATAGTTTAATTTATAGTTGTATTTTTACGCTTTTAGGCTTCGTATGTACAGTTTGATAGTCTAAATGTACCATTGTACCACGATAATTCTTCAGCAGTAATATTGCGTTCACTAGCAGATAGTGGTCAATCTGCAGTTATCGGAGTGAGAAAATAATACGAATTCTTTTCATGTGCTCGCTTCTACATGTTTTAACATTCTGATATCTGTTGACTATCATTTGCTCGACCCCTTATAAACCTACCAATATCCAACGAATTGTGCCTGTTGCCGTTTTAAATCATTTGATATATTCCTTCCTGCTTAGTTTTATTTGCGTTTTCTCTTCTAAACCTTAATTGACATACTGTATTTATTGACGAAAGCGTTTTATTTTCTAGAGAGTCCAAGTTTACTCGCCAAAGGTTTACACTTTCTTAACACGTAAGTTATGTAATTGAGACTTAATTTATATCTATGCCTTGTAGTTACAGTTTAATACAATAATTTCCAAGACTATTTTCACCATTGTCATTGATATCAACGTTGACAGTTCTTGACATACATGAGTGCAATAATCAATATATTTATTTATTTATTAATTTATTTATTTATTGTGCTTCGCTTCCAAACATCATACAACAATTGCATTAAAGAAGCTGGGACACCACAACAGCTTAACACCAATTACAGTGAGCCCTTTACAAAATATCAATATAAACATAGAAAATAGAAACAAGGTTATGCAATTATAGTACCTTTACACACCACGATCCGCCGTGTACGACTCGTATTCTGGCGTATGTAATGGAGTAGGCACGCGTAAATTTGTGCATTTAAATTTTGCCTCAATTCAGATTTTTTTTGATATTGTATGTACATTTTACCACGAGCCTCCTATATGTCACTTGATTATTCCAAAACACCTCGATTCTTCATTTTTGGGAATTGGTAATCCGTGCCAATGAGTGAAAATTGTTTGTCCAAGGCTAAAGCTCTTGTACTGTTGTAGTCCTTAAACTTAAAGTCAAACGAAAGTTGATATGAGAGATCCATAATTCATAAACTCTCATCACTGAAGTCCCATCAAAATTTGCACCAGCTCAAAGTGACTATGCTCAAATTTGACGACAGCTGTCAAGAGTGCATGAGAGTCGATGAGAATTGAGCCAGTGAAACTTAAGTCTCAACCTCGTTTGACCGATCGGGGTCATCGGGCTTTATCCGTAGGAGTTAGCCCTCATTACACCATTTGCGTTCAACATTAAAAACAAAGTTCAAAGACAATTAACAGTCCGTACATAGTCATAGAGTAGACTTTGAGTAGACATCAAAAGTATCTTTCAGAGCAGTACACTAACCTTTGTATAAAAAAAAAACTAACAAAGATATTTAAATCACTATACAAACTATTAATACCTAAGTCTTTTCAAAAGTTTAATACAGCAACATTTATATGTACTGTTACATTCAGATACATATATATAGTTGATTTTAATCTTTAATGAATTTCAATTGGAATTTAATTTTTAATCACCCACATATGCAAAATTACATTTAGTGGGTAACACTGATTCATCAAAAATATTGCACAACGCATTCAGCTTGCGAATTGGCTTTGGCTTTGCTTTCATCGACTTCAAAACAATTCTTTGTGTTCTGTTATAAAATTCCTTGCAACCGCGTAGCATGATAGCATTGTAGCAATTTTGCTCGACAATGCATTCCTACTGAATTCTGCTGATCGATATATAAGGACATCAAAATACCGTACGGACGTTAACCGATTGTCAAAATGCTGGAGCTTATTCGAGCAGTGAGAAAAGCTTTATTTCACTATGAATCTGAAGACGATGAGAGGTGAGTAGATAAATATTATAAGAAAACGAATGGAAACGAAACGTTTCTCTCGTAATCCTGGAATTGCTGTCAAAGGATTTTAGTCTGATTTACAGTAGACGTGGATGATCTGTGAAGACGCGTTATCAATCTTGATTGATTATCGTCGTGTGGTGTAAACTGAGTTGTGTAAACACAGCGAGAATTGTCCAGTCGAGTACAATAGCTTATGGCAATAGTTTTTGAAATAAATCATGTCTGATGTTTCCCGTTAGTTCGTGTAATGATGTATTTATGCGAAGAAGAATCGTCCGTCATGATACATCATCTGTCTGATAGATCATCCGGCTTATAGTCGGTATAAATTATCCGAGGCGATCTATCACTGGCAATAGTTCTGGCACTTCTGCGAACAATCAGTCTGATATTCTCCTGGCATTTCGTTTAATGCCATATTTTTTACACATAGATAGATCGTCCCTAAAAACCCATACTCCATCCGAGGAATCGTCCGTCTTAGCGTGAACACAGGACGAACTCTCCGGGCAACTACAGGAATCTTGGCTGTTGATCCATCCGTTCGCTGCGTTTATACACAGAAACATTATCAGACGAACTATCTTATCTTTGCCTAAGCCCATCCAGATGCACTTTCAATTGCCATACATATTTAATATACTGTTTATCAGCCGATGCAAATGAATGCCGTGAAGCGACTCGAAGTGAAACTAAAATTCTGTAACTTTCTTTTGATTTTTGGAAACATTTTCTCCCCCCAAAATCTCAAATTCTGTCCATGTATTTACCTTTGAAGTACGAATTTTTGGGAAGATTTATTTGGCCGAGAATTAGACGCTATTTATCAACAGCAGATGTGCTTTTAAAAATTGTATGCTGCGATTTAATTGCTTTTAGGCATGTACAGTTTCCTCGCATTTGTCTCGGAGACATTTGGGGACATGTCATGTGGTTGGAAACCTTTACATTCTATATATATATAATAGAGATCGCTGAGCATTGTGTGTCTGATGGGTCATCCTTAGAGGGATCCGTATTTTAGATTCTGGGGGCTAAATATTATTAAAATGTCAATATTTTAAAATGCGCCTGCATAAATTCAAAAGGTTCCTGTGCGGTCGTGCATTTTAATGATGCTGATCTCCAGTAAAAATCGGGGCAACGACTACTGACGCTTAACTTGAGGTTATTCTCAAACATGACTAAGAGAATTGTCTATAACATTGTGCCATCATTTGGCAATATTAATAAAAGCCCCGCGCTGTTTGTGCTGTTTACATTTATTGTTTAAAATTTGTATATATATATTGCGTATTGTTTGCACTTGCATGATAGCCTATATAATTATATATGTATTACATTTATTATGACGCAATGGTCTATTTAAAGCCGTGATCACATACACATATATTGCCACGTCTTCACTGCCAACGCGTTGAACCTCGATTTCATGTTGGTCATAATGAACGAATAAATGATTTACCCATACAATGTAATTATGAAACGACGCAATCGAACCCAATTGCGCTCGTCGTATCCAGTCACATCCTATCGAACGTCCGACTGCATGAACTCTTTCATGATCCGATCAGATTATAGGGCAGGGTGAACAACTGATGAAACCTTCCTCAGCGTAGAAATTATTTTGATCCAGTAATAAAGTTCAAAAGTCTAATTAGAGTTTTGAGTAATTTCTAGGATATAAACTTTTGATTAAGCTTTAGGACTGGGATAAATTTAGTTCTCGGCAGGGTCAGTTCAATGTTATGATCAAGCTTGGAATTGTCAGAAAAAATTTTGCTGTTGATTCCTTCCGTTGCTTGTTACATTATTAATTAACTAAGCGCTTTTGTGCAGCTGATGGTGGTGGATCAGTTATCAAAATGAGAAAATAATATGGTGATTTCATGATACGGTATTACTGTACATGTCTTATATTTGGCGGTTAATAAATAAACGGAGGGAGATTTGATTGAGTTGTCTTGTTTTTATAACTCTCAACAAACAGTCTGAATTTGACCACCATCTCCTGCCGGTAACTCGAGCTGAAACCAAACCTTTTTAGACCACCATTTCGTTTCAGCATGCCAAGTTACCATGAGCATTGTGGAAAACCCGGACCTAAGAGTCTATCCTACATTCCGCCTCCTGAAGCAAGACTTTTCAAGTCCCGAAGTGCTCCTGGTTCACCCTTGTTCGATCGCAATCAACACTTCAGCAGGTCCGCTAAGGGTTCCGCAAGTTTCCGAGAACCACGGCACACTCGGGCGTCGTTTCTTCTGCGTGAAAGTCAGTTGAAAAAGGCGGAGAAGTATAAAGACGAGAAAGGGCCAAAAATTGGACGAAGCAAGTCGTTTACAAGTAGGATAACGTCGAAATTGTACAGCAGAAGTAAGTAGACGCAGGTTATCAATTCGTCCTTCCGTTTTCCGTCCGCTCGTCTGTTCGCTCATCCGTGTTCCTCGCCCACGCAGGAAAACAAACCCACGCGAGAACTCTCCTTTCGAATTCCGGCTGCGTGGGCGATTTGAAAAATTACAATCAATGAAGTCTGCGAAGCAAACTTTGGTCAAATTTGACGCGTTTGGTGCTTTTTTGAGCTAATTTTTTTACCAAAAGAGCAATGCCGAACTGCCCTAAGTGCAATAAACCTGTCTTCTTCGGTAAGTGAGCTTTTAGAGAGAAAATAAGCGGAAAAAACAACGAGAGTTTGTATAATGACATCTCAATTTTACAACTTTACTCCTCGACAATAAACAAATATTTACCACTGCCTTTTTCAGAAGAAGGGTCAGTGATCACCATAAATGTCCAAAAATTATGTACTAAGATTGTTTTTTATTTATTTCTAGCCGAACAGAAGAATTCGCTGGGCAAGTCGTGGCATCCGAAGTGTTTGAAATGTGAAGAATGTGGCAAAGTACTAAATCCCGGCCAACATTCTGAAGTAAGATATTTATATTTAAACCGCTATATTTTCTTGTTTTAACTCGATATTTTGTGCACCAAAGGCCTCTTTGTGTGACCACACGTAGGAAATTCAAACAGGGGTCATGTGGTTAAAATTTGGTGCAATTTTCTGGAGTTTTTTTTTGTGCGAAATTTTGGAAAATGTTTGGATGCCGCCTTTGTTGATGTTTTGGCACTGAATGGCTCCTTCCAGATTGTCACGAAATTAATAGCCCTTTAAACTGATTTTCGCTTCTCAGCGCTGAAATAATAAACTATTTTGAAACCATCCCAAGATGAAATGTTCTCTAAACGAGGAAGTATCGTGTTTAAGCTATAAACACAGGCGAAATTCAACACCATTTTCACGGAAGAATTTTTCTGTCTCGTGATTCGCAAATGAGATATGTTTATGCTTAAACGGTCTCGTTTGAAATATTTGCGTTTTGTGCTGTGTGGGCAGCTTTGAAATGGACGATTTACAGCTAACTAATCCCGAAGAATGCCCAAATTGTGCCGGGGACTGTACAGTGCCTGTAAGTTATAATCTTTTAAGCCATTTTTTGAATGCTATCTCACAAGACTCGCATACCTCGTCGCATGCTATTTAATCACCGATTTAATCTTTTATATTTAACATATGTTGTTTTGTCTTAATAGGAAATTAGTCGTACTTGTATTAAAAGTGAGCAACTATAAAACTGCGGTTTTGCTACCAAGGAATTCTAATGAAGCAATTAATATGCGATCTTTGTATAAAATGTTCATGTAAATTTGTGGTTTTCCGTTTGAGAAAGTTGGTTTGAAACTGTTTCAGACAGCATCGTTATCCTAGACATGATAAGAATATGAAATTTAATAGCCATGAATACATATTTAAAGTATTGATGGTTCACAGACTGCTTGATTGTACTTCCCCTTGATGACTAAAATCATCTGGCATTAGACAGAGTAAAATAATGAAGTAGGGTGCATTGAGGTGCATTACAGCTTAACTCATTGAGCAGCAATGCTCCCCAGTCTGCCCTACTTATTTATTGTATTACTTGTCTAATGCCAGACGATTTTACTCATCAATGGGGAAGCGCTGCAGCTTAATGGTTACAAAAAATCTGACAATGTCTCTAGTTAGCTTATAGGTTTAACAGGAGACATTGGCAGACAGTTAGGAAGAACAGTTTCGAACTGATGGAGCTATCCAGTATAAATAAAGTTAGTTTAGTTTAGGTTTCCTCCTGTAGTGACACTGGATCAATAAGAGATGATCCTTACTGGACCTCTAGGAAGAACAGTTTAGAACTGATAGAGCTACCCAGTATAAATAAAGTTAGTTTAGTTTAGGTTTCCTCCTGTAGTAACACTGGATGAGTAAGAGATCACCTTAATTTAACTGCACAACATCCAGCAAGAACAGTTTATTTAGCAGAACTGATCAGTATATTTATGAAATATAGAACAACTACACAAGGCTGACAAAAGCTGACATGTTTATAAACATGAAATACTAGCTAAGCATCTTAAGTACATATTTGAAATTCAAATCGGTTCTAAATTGTTGTATTTTGATTGGCTGGCAGTGAAGCATTAAAATATTCATTGTTCATGTCCTCATGTCAAGTGTTCTCATCATGAAATATGGATTCAGAGATTATTAATTATCTTCATAGAAGATTGCCCCATACTGGCAGCTTATGGATGGTAATTTCTCATTGTGTGAACTGTTTATTTCTTAGATTTACTTCAGTTGATATAGCTTCGTTTTATCTCATGCTTGTAAAATGATATCTGTGTTTATATTAGCTAAACTATTGTCTGTGTTTTAACATTTGTTTGATTGTGTCATGTGAGCTTGTTGAGTTTGTCTTCTTGCTAGTGTTTAATTTTATTCTTAGTAAGCATTTGTTTGTTACCGTACTGTTTTTATTCAAACTAGAACAATATTTATGTCTGGCTTAGTGTCTTTGCTTCGATTATGAATTTTTGACCTTTGATCTAGTATGTTCCTTCTTAGGTTTAAATTAAACTAACTTTATTTATACTGGGTAGTTCTATTAGTTCTAATCAGTTCTTCCTAAAGGTCCAGCAGTTAGGTTACTAGTCTTATACAGCGTAGGAAGCACTCTCACATGCGACTAAAGTGCTACAAACACTATAAGGGTCTTCAGTGACACAGTTGTCAGAGCAAGTATGAGTGCCTTCCAATTCTTAGATTGTGGGTTTGATTCTCTGTGACTGCGGACTTGTGTGAGAAGAGTCTGTTAATGTTCTGCCGAAATTTGTGGGTTTTCTCCGGGAAAGTTGACTGAGGGTGGTTTAGGATAAACATAGTTAATAAGAAAGTGATATCACAATTGTTGTAAACATAAATAGTCTACACAGCTAAAAACGATCAGGTTGTTGCAATGCAATATTGATGAAAACAGGATTGAACAATGTTTTGCTGCCCACATTGTTCACAGTTGTCAACAATATTGAACAATATTGTTACACCCATTCAGACTCAACAATATTGTTCAATATTGTTGACAGCTGTAAACAATGTGGGCCGCACAACATTGTTCAATCCTGTTAAACAGCAGGCTCGTAATTTTTACTTGTGTAGGCTAAGAATTAAAAAAATTAACATAAGTAAGGGTAATACTTAATGTCATTGGTCACTGAAAAGCCCCGATGGGGAGTGAACTGAATCATAATCAACATTCAGCATCCTCTATGCAAATCCTTGGTAGAATGTCTCAAAGAAATATGTTTTAAAATTTACTCTATGTTTGTTTGTAGCATCGAGGGATACCATATTGCAACATACCATGTTACAGTTTGTTATTTGGCCCTGGAGGTTATGGTCGTGGTGGGGTAGAGTCACACCAGAAGCTTGGATTTCAAACTACGCTAACGCCTGACCAAGTTGCACTACGGTATGCTAACTTTATCTTTGTTGCTCTTTGTAATGACCATCAGTTGAATCTTTGGATGAACAGTTCAAATATTTGCTACCTGAGCATTGCTCTGAAAATTTCAAACAGCTCTGTTTCGGTGACTGATCAGAGTAGAGACAGACCATTAGAAAAAGGGGGAGACAAAAAAATTTTGCAGAGGAATACAATAGAAAAAGCTTTGGGCAAAGAGGGAAAGCAAGCAATTAAATACCTTAAATTTCCACAAAAAATTTCGAGCACAAGCGGACATCTGAAAAAAATATTGGCTGAATATTACCTCCCTCCCAGACACTTTCTAATGGTCTGTCCCTTAAAATGTGACTTTGTCAAATGCTTGTTTCAAACATTCAAGTTTCAATTGTAGCAAATGTAAATATTGATATAACAATAAAATGTTTATGGTATATTTTCTAGGAATGAGTTGCTACCAAAGTTACAACACTATAACGAACATTATGAAAGTGACAAGAAAAGAGCTTTACAGCTGGCCAGTAAAGAGGTACAAGGTCTACATGGCTAAAAACGCACAGGTTGTTCCTTGAAGTTGATATCGACAGGAGTGAACAATGTTGTGCGGCCAACTATGAACAAGTTGTCAACCATGATGTTCCAAGTTGTTACAGTTGAACAATGCTGTAACAACATGTTGACAATACTGTTCATAGTGGGCCGCACAACCTTGTTCACGCCTGTTGATATCAACCTGGAACAAGTCGTTGATTTTCTCAATTTTTATGCGTGTACAAGCAGTTTTTAAACCCCCTCAACATTAGAGAAGTTCAGATTTTGACTGCCACCACTGCTACCATTAACCAATCAGAGGTGTTTATTTTACACCATTAACCAATCAAATGCTTCCATGGTAGTGGAAATCAAAACCTCTCTATTAGATCATAGACATAATGCAATGCTTGTGTGTTTCCAACAGGATGGAAATCTTGGCATCCCCATAATTGAGACCATTGCAGCTTTGAAATGATAATTAGGATGCTTGTGTGATGTTACTCTGAGTGTATATCCACACCGGGCAGGCTTGAAAAATATGCCTGGCCACGGTGGGAATCGAACCTACAACCTTTGGAATACTAGCCCCAAACTAGTTCCGAAAAATCGCATACTCAAACCGGCCTGACTGCGTAGCTCAGTTGGCAGAGCGTTGGGCTAGTATGCCAAAGGTCGTAGGTTCGATTCCCACCGTGACCAGGCATATTTTTCAAGCTTCCCCGGTGTGGATATACACTCAGAGTAACATCACACAAGCATCTTATTCACCTGAGTACACTACACCAGCACAGCAAATATGATATTTATGATATTAATTCCTTGTATGTGGTTGTATTTTTTAGGCAAATGGCAAGTTAATCATTGAAGGTGTGTTACGTGTCTACTGGGGCTTAAAGAACCCGGTCACACTGGCTCCACTGTGCGGGAAAAATGATCGTGCTTTTAAACTTTTTCATCCTGTGTCCAATCAGAAGTTGTCCAGATCTGAAACTGTGAAACAGGTAGTTATTCCCAAAATGAAAAGTTCAAAAATATGTTTGCTTAATTTGGGAATCAGTGTATGAAAGGATTCTTATCCAGTTGTTTGAGTACATCACCATGTGAGAGAAATACTTTGAGTTTGACTCCATGCCAAACACCACAGGTTTTATTAGTATTCCAGTTTCCTCTTGTAGTAACACTAGACAAATAGGGTATATACCTTACTGGAATTCCAGCAAGAACAGTTTTTAACTGATAGAACTATCCAGTATAAATAAAGTTAGTTTAGTTTAGGTTTCCTCCTGTAGTAACACTGGATCAATAAGAGATGATCCTTACTGGGCCTCTAGGGAGAACAGTTTAGAACTGATAGAGCTATCCAGTATAAATAAAGTTGGTTTATTTTAGGTTTCCTCCTGTAGTACCACTGGATCAATAAGAGAGGATCCTTCCTTGACATCTAGGTAGAACAGTTTAGAACTGATAGAGGTATCTAGTATAAATAAAGTTAGTTTAGTTTAGGTTTTCTCCTGTGGTAGCACTGAATCAATAAGAGAAAATTCTTACTGGATCTCTAGGGAGAACTGTTTAGAACTGATAGAGCTATCCAATATAAATAAAGTTAGCCTTAAAAACCATCATTCAAAAGGCTGCCTTTAAATTCGAATTGGACCGTTTCAGTTAAGAAGCCAAAGTTTGATAACTGATGAAAAACTCGCAGACAGAGCTTTGAAGAAGGCAGCTAGAGGGAAACCTCGGTCTAACTCAGAGGAAAAGCTTGGTCGACGACATACAATGAGTCATTCTGATCGCAAGAAGAGACCGGCCAAGTCGAGTCTGGAAGTAAGTTGAACTTTTTAAGGGATGACCAGGGGTGGAAAAGAATTTTACTTCCTGGGACCAAAAGAGAACATTGAAAATTTTCTGCAAATAATTAAGTAAATTGACACTCGGACACTGTAACTGTCATGTTATAACTGAACAGAAACAATTTATTTCTGTGCACTGAGAATCTTAGTAAGACTTTTAGGAATAAAACTAATTTAGATAACATGCATGGATCTGATCCTAAGGTAAATACGGATGCCAAAAAAGGGCACTAAAAATGCACTAAAGGCAAAAAACGGCACTAAAAGATGCCCTAAGTCTAAGGGCAAAAAAGGACACTAAAAATTATACACTATCGCACTATATTTTAGCCAACAAGGTTCATTCCACCTTATGGTACTTCAACAACACTACGGTTAACCAGCAAGATACCCACACCAGATGTCGTCAAGATGATCTTAACAAAATTTCAGGTTTGCTGTTCAATTATTTGCAGTTGTATGCTCAGCAAGCTAGGAAATACTGCAGCAGAAATATTTCCAAATGTTGATTCTTCCACGAATGTTCCCGTGTTTGTTCACCTTTGATTGAAAACATTGCCACAAATTTTCCTTTTATGGAAGCGAAAATGTTTGCCAAATAATCTGACAAATATTCTCATTTCCTTGTTTGCTCTGAACTTTGCGCAATATGGCTAAGAAATAATGTTGATGCAACAATGAATCCTAGTTTATACGAAATCTTAGATACGATAAAATAATATTAGGGAGCCCATTGGCCCCATTCATACTGTACCCGATGTATTCTAAATATTATTACAGGTAAACTACATTAAGCGTTCCTCTTTTGAGTTTCTAAATTGATTGCAATTTTCCTCATTACCTTTGCAATTTAACAAAACCTCCCTTACAAATCCTTTGAGAGAATTTGCAATGTTGCTAAAAGCCGATTAAATTTTCCTCATTCCTGTTAGAAGTTCTTAACTTCCTGCATTGGAATATTGCAACCACATATCAGTGATTGCAACAGCCGATAGGAACGTTGCAAATTCCCTCAACGAGTTTTTCAAATTCGAAAAGCTAATGAGGAAAATTCCAAATAACTTAGGAGGTCAAAAGAGGAACGCTTCACGTAGTTTACTTGTGAAATATACAAACAATTTCTTGTTTTTTTAGATTGCCGACCCCTGTGATAAGTTCACCTTGTTTGTCAAATATGAAAATGGAGGTAATGCATGTCTGCTAACAATGTTTAACAGTCGTGTGGGCAAGTGTCAAGTGATTAAAGTATAAATAAAATATTTTCTTCAGAAATTAGACGACTCTGTAATGGCGAAGGTCCACTGATGATTCGACTTCGACTTGGTCCAGCTGAGGTAAAGCTAGCGCAAAAATGCTAAACTTCCTTTATATTGCATAGCTCTTTCAGTTATAAACTGTTCTACCTAGAGGTCCAGTAAGAATCATCTCTTATTGATCCAGTGTTACTAAGAGGAAACCTAAACTAACTTTATTGATACTACATAGCTCTATCAGTTCTAAATTGTTCCAAATCCACTCAGACTGTTCCACTAATTATTCTCTTGATTTTTTTTCTTTACGTAGGATTTAGCGAGAATTTATTTGATGGAAGATAAAAAAGATACAGCGATTGGAAGAGAGGTGAAATTCTTGTGTTTCGAAAATATCTACGCACGACCTATACCAGAATATTCTGGAAATACTCAAAATCCATAATACACTTAGAACTTATCAAATGTGTTTAATTTTGTGATTCATACAGGTAGCTCAGTACATCCATTTTGCAACACCAGTACTGCAGGCATTTATAGTCAAGTTCAACGAGGAAGAGGAACGTGAGCTCCAGAAAATTAAAGACAGGTTGGTGATTTTTATTCCATGAGATTGCATGCAGTGTTAGCAAGCGTTAAGGTGGAGTAATACGAGCAACAAAATTGCTGCAACTTGCAACAAAATCTGATTTCAACGCATGTTAAGTAGAAATGTCGACACATGTTGCCTTGTGATTTGTAATTTATTTGTAAACATTTTCAATTAACATGCGTAGAAATCAGATTTTGTTGCAAGTTGCAGCAATTTTGTTGCTCGTATTACTTCACCAAATCGTATTACTTCACCAAAATTCCTAGTGTGATCACAGAAACTTTCTTGTGTAAACCAGGTTTAAATTAGTTCACAACTTTACCAAAGTAACCTTCTTATCTTTTAGATATCGTGAATACAAGAAACATTTGCAAGCCATCATTCAAGAAATATCTTCGACGTCTTAAAGATGAAATTTTTACTCTCTGTATTGTAAAGCATACAGTGTATACAGAGTAATTCTTATCGGGAGAAGATCTGGTTCGATCACGCCCAAACACAGATGACAACAGTTCCTGATTCCTATCCAAAATTATCTTAAACTACTGCAAAAAGAAGAAAGGTTTTTCAACAAAATGAATTCCGAATATGGAGCTCTTTGGTGATGTTTATGGTGATGTCCAGTTCATGTTTGGTACTGATGTCTGGCTTCATCGGATCATCCATTTTAAACACAAGATCAACTATCCACAACTACAATCCTGGTCAAAAATATTGGCACACATTTGACTCATACTACAATGAGATGCATAGCAACCCCCCTTCCCCCCATTCAATGTTGTGTGTTAGACTTGCTATGCGTTACGCAACATTGAATGGGAGTGGGGAGGTGGGCTCTGAACCTGAAATTCTGCATAAAATGCGCAAGGATGTATATGGCAATCAGAAATGGAGTAAAGGATTTTGCTAAATTTTGACTAAGTGCACGAAGGATGTTTGACCAGGATTGTCCGATATTTTCCTGATAGTGTTTCTAACGCCCCATTTCCATTCGAGAAAAATTTCCACGGACAGAAAATTTTCCGAAAAGAAAATTTCAGAAAATTTTCCATTGTTAAAAGTTGAAAATTTTCAACTTCAAAATTTTTTCCCACGGAAAATTTGTGTCGGCCAAATCACATTTTACAAAATTTTCTTTCTGCGGAAAATTTTCCTGAGTGGAAATGAGCCTGAATGCCGTGCTTATACACATTGACGGATCATTCGTCAAGACGAACTACGCACGCAAGTTCGCCTCAGTAGCTACGTAGATAGGGCCTAAAAAAATACATGTGGTTCTGGTTCCCGACCGACCCTATTTTTTCTCTGGGTGGTTGCGGGCTGCTCATACAGCGTGCCAATATGGCGTCTGTTGTCACACTTATTATTTAACCAAATTGCCTAAATTCCTCCATAGGAAATACACATCTCTAATTAATATTGATATCGGGACTCTACTGAAAATCGCCCAGCAAAAAACCCCGCCAAAACCATGAAAAAAATATTCAAAATTATTCCCAACCTACCGACCCTAATTTTTTCATGATATGAAACCGGAACCACAGGTATTTTTTTTAGGCCTAGCTTGTCTTGACGGATAATCGACTTTTATGCACAGACCAATTATCAGATCAACTATCTTTTCTTTGCCCAGTATACAGTAAACCGAACACCGTCAATCAATAGAGGAATTGTAGTGATTGTCCTGCTGTGATAAACAAGTCCGGTGTTGGAAGTACATACAATGTTGATGTTAATTACTTGTAATAGTTGCAAGTGGCTGGTCCACTGAAATATTAGTGTATAGTATTCATAATTTGTACATAACAAACTGTATTTAATATTGCGTTGATGAAAGTAAATTAAGATAAATATTTTAAGTTAAAATGCTGCTGTCTTTGTTGTTCTTGCGTTTCAATGGTTCTGCTCAGTTTCTTTCCCTCCCCTGCTTAATTACACTCTCAAAGTTTCTGTGATCACAGTAGGAATTTTGCATTGGTAAATTCTAAGTTTTGAAGGATTTGTAAGAAATGTTTGAGGAAACTCATTGTCTTACAAATCCTTCAAAACGTACCTATGCAAAATTCCTACTGTGATCACTAACTTAACCAGCATTTAGAAAAATTATTTCTCGGAAATACAGAGGTCTATGTAATATAAATCTCTTGGGTCGGCTGTGTTTTTGTACGCAGTGCTCTTTGCGAGATCCGCGCGCGTGACGCGTGGATATTTCTTTTCAAAAACACGTGTGCATTTCATGACTGAAATCTTTTCATTCAAACACAATTTTTAGACATTTTCGGACGTTTAAATCGTTCAAATGAAACTAGAAAAAGGAATCGAGAAAGATAATAGTTTAGGCAGACCAATGGACAGTGAAAAGAAGCGAGTAAGTATTGTTTTCTGGCTTTAAACGTAGTTTACCGGTGTTGTTTATGTTGGAATTTTAAGTATTTCGTAATATCACAACCATATAATTCATACTTTATACTATGCTATATTCACACGTAAACGATCTTAATATGTTGCCATTTTCTTTTTAAGTTGTTTATGATTTTTGTAATGTAGAATTTACGAAGTTAATTCTATTTTTCATTTGTGTTATTTCATCCCATATGTTTTGTTTTTTGATTTGTGTTTATATTTTATCCCTCGTTTTCATGTAGCTATTTCCCATATTTTGTGTGCGGTAGTACAGTTTTACTTGTGACATGGGGTAATCAGTGGCATACCCATGGGGATGAGTCTCCCCCACCCTCCTTCAGAACCACCTTCGAGATATGTTTAAATCTGTTGAGAAAGTTCAGAAACTGGGGGGTAACACTGATCCGATTTCATGTCCAGCTTATTATTCGCAGCATTCTTGACCAAATTATGATGTTATAATATTCTGACTGTTTGTAAAATCTCACCCCAAAATGCATGAAATGGCATTTTAGAGGCTCTGAATAAAAATTTTTCCTGGGGGATTATGCCCCCCGAACCCTCTAGAGTGTTCGCGCCTTCGGCGCTCAACTTGCCCCCCCCCCTTTGTAAACCCTGGCTACTCCACTGGGTGTAATTTGTTAAATTTTACTTAAGGTGAAACAGGAATCAAGAAAAAGAAAAGCAGATGAACAGAAAAATGGAGAAACTGCTAAGAAAGCAAGAAAGGAAAAGAATTTGGAGATTAAAGAGCAAGACTCAAGTGAAAAGGTCTAGAAAAGGAATATTCTCTTAACAACACTTGTTAATTAAACTGCTAATTAATTAACTTGTTAATTATCCAATTAAATTGACTAGCCCAGGATCTGGGGGAGCCAGATTGCCTGGATGAATAATATCACGTCATTGACATTAGATCGTCCATCGTGTTTAGGCAAGCAAAACCCAGGCAGAAATTGATGGAAAATTAAAGAATTTCAGAATCAGCAAGAAAACAAGAAAAGGATTGAAAGGTGCACTTACAGTAGTTGCAATGATCCTGAATTATCTAGTAATTGTGAAACTTAATTTGTGACTTTCTTTCTTAGAACGTGGTATTAAATATCTGTTTCCGATTCAATCCAAAACATTTGATCTTATTTATGAAGGGAAAGATGTTATTGGGAAAGCAAGTAAGCTACTTTGTTTGAATATTGTAGGTTGAGGAAGCTGGCTTTGTAACTGTAGACAAATTCTTAATGTAAAATTTTAAATTTATTTTTTAGGAACTGGAACAGGAAAAACAGTGAGTATATTTTTTATGTAATAGCAGTGACAGACATTTCAAAAAATATTGGGCATTTGTAGAGTGGGTTTGGGCTCTCATATGTTTGACAATATTTTGACACAGTTTTAAAAGATGTTACAATTATCTTGTTTTAGCTTGCGTTTGCTCTGCCTGTAATGGAACTTTTGCAACAACAAGAAATTTCCAACAAGAGAGGCCGAGCTCCTGTTGTAAGTAAATTGCTGAGGTAGTAGCACATTATGATCTATGACTATAACAACGTTTTCTGAATGGTATTTCATTGTGATTTGTATTTTTTAGGTTCTGGTCATGGTACCAACCAGGGAACTGGCTAAACAGGTCAGATTTCAGATATTTACACCCATCATCACCATCATCATTATCACTATCATCACCATCACCATCCTCACCATCATCACCACCACCACCATTATCACATCATCATTGTAACATCATCGTTATCATCACTTCTTTAAATATTTATCTTTAGGTTAGTGAGGAGTTTGAAACTCTAAAAACAGATCTCCGAGTTTACTGTATCTACGGAGGAACACCTTATGCTCCTCAAGGTATAAAAAAATTTCAAGAAAACCCTTTTCTTAGTTAGGCTATTATAATTATAAAAAAAACAAAAAAACGGGTTTTTATTTATTTGTAGAGTCAGCAATACGCTCAGGTTTGGATGTTCTCATTGGGACACCAGGAAGAATCCTAGATCACATGCAAAGAAAACTTCTAGATTTAAGTCAATTAAAGTATGTTTTGTTTTTTAAACATTTCACTATTTTGCAGTATTACCTACACTGGATACAGAAATATCTTTATTTCGAATATTTAAGGCATTGTATATTGGACGAAGTTGATCGAATGCTTGATATGGGTTTCCAAGATTCAGTTGAAGAAATACTTGCTGCCTCGTACACCACAGGTTTGGTCCTACAGTAAATTATCAACACTTGTTGGTCTGTTGGTAAATGAGTTACTAAAGATTCAGAAGAATAATTTAATCGATATTTTGCTCGTTTTGTTTGTAGAAAGTACAGCAAAGCCTCAAACGTTATTTTTCTCCGCAACGCTCCCAGCCTGGGTCTCCCAGACAGCTAAGAAATACATGACGAAAGACAAACACATTGTTGATGTGATAGGCAATGAAAAACAGCAAGCAGCTTTGACAGTTGAGGTGAGAAACATCTAAAGAAACCTCAAGCATGGGTGTCCATGCGCCACAGCAAGGCTTAGTAAATATATGTGGCTGTGGTGAGAGAAAGTAGGCCGCTGTCCTTAATGCAGGGATATTTTAACTAAGTCTGCCCATGAAACTACAGCACCTGCATTTGTAAGCAGCCAACCAAAACTGTGGCTGGCTACAGGGCGGTATAGGCACGGACCGCTAAGAAATTATTAACCTACAGTATCAGGTTTGCTGAAAACAGGTGAACTTTATAACCACAGAATGTGGTATATAGTCTTATTTATGCAATCTTGTTTTTTCATTTTAGCACAAGGCAATCAAATGTCCATACCAGGAGCGAGCTGCTACCATTGGAGACGTCATTCAGGTACAATCAGAGACAGTAGGTAGCCAAACAATCCAACCACATCCAAAAATACATTAGGGTCACCAGAAACGAATGTGTGGATGGCCCGTCAGGAAACCAGAAACACAGGATATGCTTTGTTAGGGCTAAGAATGATGGGAGTCTATCAGTCTGAGTGCAGTATCTTGGCAGTTCATATTGCAATGATATCAACACTTCTTTGGAAGTGCAGTATTCATTTTGTCTTCCCATTTGTTAGGTTTACTGTGGAGCACATGGAAGGACAATTATTTTCACACAAACAAAGAACGAAGCAAATGAACTGGTCTTGAATTCTATATTGAAACAGGTTGGTAAAAATTTAATCCTTTTAGACATTACTAATCTCTGACTAGCACAAAATAAAAGAGATAAAACAATTTACATGGTCTAAATTTTTTTTTTATTTGATTGAAAGAGCTTTTATTGCAATACTACTGCTTTAAATTTGAGTTTTGAATATTTTGCATAGGAATCCCAAGTGCTTCATGGCGATATTCCACAAAAACAGCGAGAACTAACTTTGAAGGTTTGAAGATTGACGTTATATATCATTTCATTTTTAAGGCTCCTTCGCATGATATCATTAATCGCAGGGAATGCAAAAAGACTTTCTAATACTTTTATAAAGTATGGCCGAAATCTGGCATACTTTATAGCCATGGCTAATTTTTTGAAATACTTCAAGTGTTTTTCCTTAGTGTTTGTGTCCAAACTTATGTTGATTACTTTACTGTATCTTCACTATTATAGTTTATACCTGTAAACCACATATAAATCATAAGTATTCTCTAGTTATAATCACTCCGCGTATTTTCAGTTCTAAAATGTTGTATTTCGGCTGATGAGAAAGATCGCGACTCAATCTTTACGACCGTTACGACCATATGGAAACCACGCTTTTGTTTTGCGTTTCTTGTGCTTGTGAATCTCACACGCGAACCAGCTTTTACTTTACACCAAAGTACTTTTACTTGTTCATAATATGTGGATTTTTGAGCGAGATTTAAACGAGATTCTCTTACAGGGATTTCGTGAAGGCAAATTTCGATGTCTGGTCGCGACTGATGTGGCCGCCCGTGGCTTGGATATTCCAGAAGTAGACTTAGTTGTTCAATGTGAGCCGCCCAAGGTACGTCTGTTTTGCATGTACCGTACAACCATTAGGAAATGCATTTTTCTGGAGGTAGGGGCTTTCAAAAATTGCTGGAGAAATAACATAAGGGTGGGGGAAAGAGCCCTCACCGTTTTGGACCATGACTCCATTGGCAGCTCGTAAAATTAATAAATATTTTGAACCAGAAAGTGTCCAAAAACTTAATATGAATAATCCTAGTCTCGCCTCAAACCTCTTTACCCATTGAGCGGCAGCACACTCCCCTTGACTGACAAGTATAATATCGTCCAGGGACGTCACGAAGCCATCAACATTGGGGGGAGGGGGGGGGGGG